CCGATAATAACACTCGGAAACGTATCCGGCTGTAGAACTCCGTTTCATCTGTTACCCCGTTCGTCACCCGGTACGGTCTAAGCCGCACCGTTCGCCGGTTTCACAAGAAAAGACCGTTCGAACGCGCAACGGCTGCAAAGACGGCCACTGAACGAAATCCTGCTGCGTTTCTCACTCCCTCTCTTCTCACCTCCCAACTCCCTGCACATGTAGGAACGCTCGGTAAAGTAGCGTTTTACATCACTTTTACAATTTGGCTGCTTTAAATACAAACAGCTTATCCCTCACACTTCCCGATAATCGCGTCATCTCCTTCGAAGAACCACCAACGCTAGTATTTAAAAAGCCTGGCTGACGGTCGTAAAGAGAAACGCGTATATTGCCGCCCACGCCGTTTTTGCACCGACTTGTGAACGGCCCAACTGCCTACGGCCAGCCCCGCTCTCGCCGCTAAAGGGGGTTAACAACGCGCAACTAATCAGCCGCGCCATCGTAATCTGCAGGTAAGTGAGTAATTGCTGCATACACTTACAAAAACAAACATGAAAACACACAGAAATACAGTTACGAACAAAACGAGATCACAAACACCAAACCATTTAACTCTCCCAGGACACTCAGCCCCCTACGACACCTCAGCTTCGTGCGCAGCACCTCAGCTCATGCTTACCGGTACCACCCGACAATATATTAGTGTGAAGCGTGCAACAGTCGCGCCGTCAGAGCATATGGCAGCCGTCAGCGTACGTTGGACGTAGGATTGCGACGGAATACAGGAAAACTCGGCAATAATTAGGTCAAAAGAGAGAGGCCTATGCTATACGAAACATGAAAAGTTGGTAGTAAATAGATTTCGTATTTAGTATCATATATTCTTATAATTAGTCGATACTAGTAAGCACTAACAGGAGTCGTCATATATTATAGTTAGTCAACTTCCTATAGTACCGGTAAGCACAGTTTGTCATTATTTAAGCTCCTGGTAGAACTAGTACTAGTACTAGTTACTGTAGTACTAAGTAGTCCTGGTACTTGGCAACTAGTACAGTATAGTACTTACTACTATCTAGTAATTATTGTAATCATATGTATTCTTGTTGTAGTTAATAGAGTATTCGTAGGTGTGGATACAAATTCGATCTCGCATTGGGGGACGTTTAGATATCATATATAATATATAGGCCTAGGTCGCCTGTAGAATCACGAGTACAGGCCACATTGGTTTTGATTGGACTCATGTTCTCTATCCTTGGGCCGTCCGAGTCGAGCACTCCGAAATTCCACGTGAATTCTTACGGAACACTTACAGTTCAGACTTCCCACTGTTCACAGTTTAGGCAGCTTCTGCCGACCTATGTTGAAATCGTAGTTTGATGAGGAGGTAGACTATGGCAGAGATAAGCAATAGCAGAATAACATGACAATGAACTAACTGTAATTAACGAATTAGCGAAGACGAATTCCTATATATCTACCTCTAAACTCAGCCAGTCAACGCTAACGCATTTAGGCGCTATTAGATTGTTACAAGTCAAACAAAAAAACCTCGTTATTACAGAAAAGAAAGCGCGCGTGAAGTAGCCTACGAATTGTGGCATGCATTTCTAGCCCCGTCTCTATACATAACTGTAGTGAGATCCCTTCGTGCAATGGGTGCAGAACTGCCTCAAGTCATCGAAAAGCCGGCTTCAAGCCTCTCCTAGAAAGGACCGGAGTACTTGCCTTTTGGTTAGAGGGCAGGGACATTGCAGAAGTGGTCCCGCCTAAGCGGTCGTTTGAGGCTTCGCGCGGATATCGCTGCAGATCGTCGAGATCGCTTTGGCGGTTTGCGCGCCTATAGGGAAGAACATACATACAGTACATACATACATACACACCACACGCACGCACTGCACGCACCGCACCGCCCGCACGCAGCACGCACCACGCCACACGCACGCACGCACGCAACGCACGCACGCACGCACGTCACGCACGCACGCTACACGCACGTTCCGCCGCACGCACGGCTGCACGCATCGCGCAAGCACGACGGTACCCGAGCGCCGAGGCCCACGCGACGGGCACGCACACACGCAACCGCACGCACGCACTGCGACGCACGCACGCACGCACGCACGAGCACGCAACGCACGGCACGACACACAGCCACACACAGCACACAACACACTCACATACATACACACATACATACACTACATACATACTGCCGGAACTCAATATTATTAGAATATATATAGTATATATATATATATAATATATAGACATATACACACACACACACACACACACACACACACACACACACACACACACACACACACACACACACACACACACATGTGCGTGTATGTACGTGTGTGTGTGTACGTGCGCGCGCATGTGTGCGTGCATGTGTGTGTGTGTGTGTGTGTGTGTGTGTGTGTGTGTGTTTGTATAATATGTAATTCATAGTATATACAGCATAAGGCCTCTACACATAGGCACTCCCATAGCTGCACACTCACCAACAGAGCGATGTAGGGCACCGACATGGATCCAATCCGGCCCGCCAGCGAATTGCTTCCGAGTCCGACATTCCGTATGACCGTAGGATATATCTCACCGCTGTAGAGGTTGATAATGGCAAACGACATCGTCACGGCAAACTTACCGATTGTCGCCAAGATAACGGTGATGATCTGAAAGCCTGCGGAAATAATTTTTAAGTAATTCTTGTATATATTTTGTATTTATTTTTTGTCTATTATTTATTTGTAATTTTTACATTTTATTTATTATTCCATGTTATTCAAATACAAATACATGTACTGAAGGGAAGCATGCATGCAGAGATAGGGGCGCGGTGAGAGGGAGAGCGGGAGAGGGGAGGGAGAGAGAGCGAGATAGAGCAAAAGCAAGAGAGAGGGAGAGAGAGAAAGAGAGAGAAAGAGAGAGAGAGAGAGTGAGAGAGAAACAGGAAGAGAAAGAGAGGGAGCGAGAAAACGAGAAAGCAACAGAGAG